ATCTTATGGACTCCCACATTTAGATTATTTCAATCTGCCAAAACAAACAAGGCTGCAAAGCATATTGTCACTCAAGGTTTTTTTTTTTTTTTTAATTTTTGTATTTGAGCCACACTGACAACATATGCCATGGAGCAAGATCTCAATGCTCCCACTCATTTTTTTTTTTAAAGCACATGTGAGAATATGTTTGTAAAATACATTCTTAGAGTGCGATTGCTGATTCTCAGAGTATATCCAGTTAAAATTTTGATGGATATTGCCAATTGCTGTCCTCAAGGGCATGCCAGCAGGGTATGAGAGTGGTCAACAATTTATGTTAGCAAGCATTGCTGATTCTTGTCACTCTTCAGGCAAAAAATGCTATCCTGCTGTAGTTTTAATTTGCAATTTTCTTATTAAGGGCGAAGGGGAGCAACTTTTCATATATTTAAAACCACTTGTATTTCCTTTTCTGTGGACTATTTATATCATTTGTCCATTTTTCTATCGAGTTAGTCTTTTTCTATTAATTTGTAAGAGCTGTATGAATATTAAGGAAATTAGTCCTTAGTCTAGGGTATAAGTGGCAGATATATTTTGCCAGCCTTTCATTTGTCGGTTGACTTTGTTTAGGATGTTTATTTATGTAACTGAATGTATTAAACAATGACTTCTGATCTGATGTCATCCTTCAAAAGCCTTTCTCTCCCAATATAATAATGAAAAAATGTTCTATGGTTTTTATGTAGTATTTTTATGATTTCATTTTTAACATTTAAAATTTTGATCCTTCGGAAATTTGTTTTGTTGTAGGGGCTGAGGTGTGATATTTCATTTTATGTCAGAAAGCTACTCCATTGTCTCAAGATCATTTATTAAAAAATGCATCTTATCTTCACTGATTGAAAGGCTATCTTTTTCATATACTAAATTCTAGTATGTAATTGCTTTGCTTTTCTAAATTTTTGGTTTGTTCCACTGAATAGTTTGTCCATTCATGCACCAGTTGCTTATAGTAGCTTTATATATTTTGCTTTTCGACTTTCAGCTTCTAGAACTGTGAGAAAATGCATTTCTTGTTGTTTAAGCCACCTAGCTTGTGGTAAGCTGTAAGGGCAGCCGTAGGAAACTGATGGAATGACATAGCTGGGATTTGAATCTAAGCCTTTGACCATAAGCCCTGTGTTCTGAATAGTGTTCTGAATGGGAGCGCAGAGATAGTCAGCCTTTGTTCCTGAGGGTGTTTGGGGGTGAGGGTGGGGGAGTAGGGGAAATTTGTATAATGCCAATTTCCTTAGGCCTCATCACCTGTAGGTATTAAGGGACAAAGTGGTATGCTGATTATCCTGTGTCCCTTCAGTTCTCCTCTTCAGTCTTCTCCACTCTGCCCTGTGTCCATGAGGCTGACTTCAGTGGCCTGTCTCAACCCCACTTCCTTGCCCTTTGACTTCTGATAGGGTTTGGCCAATGCTAGGCATTGGCGGGAAATTGGAAGATGGCCCCTCCATGCTGGGCCACAGATTGTCAGTGGCTGTGCATCTTTACCTAAGGCACAGTTCCATCCACAGCTCCAGCTCGGGCTCATTGCTTGGTTCCAGTGACCACGTCTTCCCTTTTCTCTTTCAGGCCTACAGGTGGTAACAGCTTCCCCTATTCGAGACCTAGAGTACTGCATCAGCCTCATCGGTTTTCCTTAACCCTGCCCGCATTCCCATCAAAGATCTATTCTTTAAACTTCTGTCAGCCATCCCTTTTGAGAGGACCATGTGTTTCCTGACCTACATGGAGGGGCCACCACTCCCTCTTTTCCCCCTAGAGTAACTCCAGTTTCCTTGGGTCTTGCCTCCACCTGCTCATTTGGAATCACCTTAAGTCTTAACCCTTGTGTGTGTGTCTGGTAAGCCACTTTGGCTCTGATGGGAGCCTTCTGGGAAGGACAGTTTTCTCACAGATGCTGGCAAAGTCAGGAAGAGGCCTATCTCCCCTCTGGGTTACTCTATACAAAGGTTCCAAGCAGGCTGCCTGGGTCCCAGGGCTCCCTACCCCCATCTCCAGGAACTGGGCGAGGCAGGGTCTGGGCTAGGTGGAGAGGTCTTCTAGTGACAGAACTGCCTCTCCCTTTAGAGCCTAGAAGGTATAAGATCTATTATTGTCAGGCTCACAGGGCAGGCTCTTCCTGTAATCGCTATGAGCTTTCTCTTGGAGGCTTCTCATTCCTTCTGCAAACAGGCTCCTGGCAGCGTGAGCTACCCTGTTGCCAGACATGCCTAGACATATTTATTTCTACTTAGACTTGGATCCTTCTATACAAGGTTTGGAAGGTAGATTTGGGTTACGGAGAGGAACAAGTTTTAACCTAATACTTTAGGCAACGAATCGCTAAATGTATTCAAGCTGGGGAGAGACTTGGATCAAATATTGTTAAGTTTAGTGTGTTGCCATCTCAGTATCCATGTTCTTGTTCTCCCTCTGGCTGAAATATCACCTCAACCAGAGAGGCTGCATCAGGCCACTCTCCATTACCACACCTTGTTTTATTTCTAGCAGAGTATATATCATTCCCTAAAATCAGGGTCTTTCTTTGCCTATTCCATGAGAGTAGGGAGATACTTGTTATAGTTAATGCTGTACTCCCAGGGCTTGGCTGGCTCATAGCAGCACTCAATAAATATGTGTTGAATTTGTTGAATGAGTTTGGCTCAATGAATGAATTTAGATGAAGAAGCCCAGAGAGGTCAAGGGACTTAACTACCTGCTTAAGAATGCACAACTCATCACCAGCAAAGCTGGGGCTAGAACTAGGGTATCTAACCAAATCCACTACATCTAAGTGGAAAAAAAGCAGGAGGTGGGGCATGATTTTGCAGGAAAGGTAAAGAGAATCTGATCTGGGAGCCAGGCTGGTGGCATCTCTGTGGCAGTGAGATGTGAAAGGATAGGAAGGAGGAGGATCTCTAGGAAAGTATGGTGACACAGTGGCCAGAGCTGAGGTGGCAGAAAAGAGATAAGATCTAAGAAGGGAAAATTAAAATGTATTGGGTGTCCACTCCTTGAAAGGCAATGTGCCAGGTGTGATACCTGTACCTGTGTAGTCTGATTTACAACTTGTACTGTAGGTATTATTGTCCCCATTTTTATGAGCTAAGGAAATGAAGGCACAGGAGTTTAAATAAATTACTTTCTTTTACCCATTTATTAAGTACCTGACTGCTAAGCTAGACCTCTTCCCCTCCACAGTCTCTTTGTGGTAAGCTGTAAGGGCAGCTTTGAACATAGGATTGAAGATGCCACTGTGCTGAGGTCCACAGTCAGTTGGAAGAGGCAACAAGAGGTAAATATTTATTAGTGAGGAGCAGGGACACGTGTCCCTCACCTTGCTTCAGAGGAGAAACTGAAGCACAATAGGGCAGGAGGTTCTTTTGATGAAGGGAGGGCAGTTAGAGGTAGGAAGAGTGGAGAGAGACAGTTTACCCTGAGAGTCTTCTGCTTCAAGGTGCTGGAGGGGGGCAGGTCAGGGACATGACAAGGGCAGGCAGAATAGCCTCGGAGCCAGAGGTGACACAGATCACTTTTTTCCTTATCTGGATTCCGATCTAGGGAGAAGCGGCAGAAGTGGGGTAGGACTGGTTGGGCTGAGTTCAGTCCAGACTCCGAGTGGCGAGTGGCGTGAGCCCATCTTCCATCCCCCAGTCGGGCCCCTTCCTTGCAGTGGGGCACTCCTGGCTCTTGCTTGCACACACACAAAAGATGGCCCCTCAGCCCAGGTGTTCCAGGCCAGCCCTAATTTAAAGTCCACTGCCCTTTGTCTCCATAGGTACACTTGTGCCTGTCAGATTGTGGCTCTCGGTTTTGGTTTGGAAAATAAAGGTCACTGAGGCCTAGGATGCAGACTGTACCCTCCACAGAGCCAGGTTCTGTTCAAGCCACAGGGCTGCATAAGGTGTTCTTTGTGCTGGGGACGCCTCCAGGGCCCGGTGTTGGAGGTGGCCCCTAGCCTAGGGCTAGTCCCTGACCACTGAGGCCAAGCAGCTGGCTGTGGGTCATGTGTTGAGGAAACCCTCAGAAGCTGCGTTCCCCATCAGACCCTTACTCCCATCCTAAAGCCTCTCTTCAGGGTATAACTCAAACTTGCTAAAAAGGGCTTTCATAAACAACACAAGACTGAAAACTCGGGCGGGGAGGCCCCTCCAGCCCTGGGGGCTTCAGGAGGGTCTGGGCTGCCTGCCAGCTCCTGGCTGTCCCCAGACTTGGGGGGAGGGGTGGGGAGGCGGTGCTTTTACTCTCCTTCCTGCTCGGTTTCCAGCCCAGAGTTTCCTCAGGCCCCGGCCTCCCGGGCTCCCCACCCTGCTCTCCCTTAACCCTTTCCTCCAGGGAAGGAGGGGCACAGGTCCCCGTTCTCCAGCGAGGCCTGGGAGGCGGCGGGGTGGGAGGGCGGAATGGGGAGAAAGACCAGGTCCCCGAAACCAAGACCCCTTTCCCCTAACCAAATGCCCCTCCTTCTCCTTCCTTTTCCTTCCACTGGGGAAAGGGGAACGTGGAAGGAAATTAACTTTGACCCCTGGATTCTGGGTCTGGGCCCAAAACTTGGGTGGAAGGCAGAGGTTTCCAGGACCCTCCTACCGCCTCTCTTCTTCCCCCGCCTTCCTCCTCCCTTTAAGCTGCCCAGAAGACGGAGAAGGAGCTCATCCCGAAGGGACTGGCGGAGTGGTGAAGGGGGAAGGCTGGGGGCGGAGGGAAGGGCGGTGGGAGCCCGACCGGTCCCACCCCCAGCTTCAACCCCTGGCAGGAAGAGATTGTCGCGGGAGCCGCCGCCGAAAGAAACGGAGCTCGGGAGGGCGGTCGCCCGAGCGGTGGCGGGTGGGTCCGCGAGCCACGGGGACCAAGACCGAGACTGGGGGCGCGCCGCAGGGAGTCGGGGGCGTGGCCTGGGCTCCCTGGGCCGGGGGCCGGGGCGACTTTCGCCCTGGGATCCCGGTGACACTTTGGGCTCCTTCCTTCCAGGGGCGGGTGGGGCAGCCATGCTCCTGTCCGGGGGCGACCCTCCGGCGCAGGAATGGGTCATGGTGCAGACCAAATCGAAGCCCCGGGTGCAGCGGCAGCGGCTGCAAGTGCAGCGCATCTTCAGGATCAAGCTGAACGCCTTCCAGAGCCGCCCCGACAACCCCTACTTCTGGCTGCAGCTCGAGGGGCCCAGGGAGAACATGGGCAAAGCCAAGGTAAACAGCTTCTCCCCACCCCCACCCGTCCCTTCCTACCAGACCCCTCTCCCGTTTCCCTGCCTCCCGGGGAGACAGAGATCCCCTGAGGTCCCCCGACCTGGATTTGGCAGTGTGGCCGGCAGGTACTGGGCCATCCTCCTGTCTTTCCAGATCTGCAGTATTGGTTCCTTCTATCTCGTTTCTTCTTCTTTTTCTTCTTCTTCTTTTTTTTTTTTTTTGCTCCACCTCTCTCTTGCTTGTCATTTCTGCCCCGCAAGTGCCCTGAGAGAGGTTCCCCCGCCTGTGTACCTCCAGGAGCCGTCCTTGGCCAGGGCCCCAGCATCCACAAATCCACTCCTGCATTAAAATCCTGCATTTCAGTGGCCTCTGCAACACACCTCTTTGTTCTCCATCAAGATGACCCTTCTGTCTCTTTTAAAGTCTCCTTAAAACCTGGGCTGTCCCCTATCAGGGTGCTGGGGCTGGAGAGGCTCTTAGAAATGCTGCTAAAGCAATGCTGGCATTTTACAGAGGAGGTGTTGGGCATTGGAGAGAGTGAGGGGCCTGCCTGAGTGCTCAGGGTCAGGTAGGTAGGGGTGACCAGGGCTGGGACCAGAACCTAGAGCTCCGGGCTCCCTGCCCCACACTCTTGATGCCTTAGATAGCTTCTTGCAGTGGCTCAGGGGTGCGGGTGCAGCTGCTCTGGAAGCCACCAGCCCTTGGGGATGGGTGGGAATTTGGGAGGAGAGCTGCGGGCTTTCACATGAAAGAGCTTGCTGTATGGGGCTGGACACCTGAATAGGCCAGGTCACAGTGTGTCTCTTGCGTTCTCTCTGGCTTCTCTCACAGTCTTCTCCTCTACTTGGGCCTCTCAGGTTCCCTCTGACCCCCAGTCACGGCCAAGGTCTCCCTCTTCCCTCAGATTCTTTTATCTTATCTTTTCCTGGTAGGAATGCTACAGCCTCCCTCTGCCCCCAACCACCCCAACACACACCCCTTCCCTAGCTGGGTCTGTACTGATATACTAATTGGTCAAGGCCATGGGTGGGGGAGGCCCAGAACATGCTGGCCAGCAGGCAGGCGGGCGGGCAGACAGGCAGGCAGGCTGGAAAGTTCCTCCCTCAGCCCCTCTGTTGAGCTGCTGTGTCAGCATTTTCTCAAATTCTGACAGAGGTGCTGGGGGAGGGGAGGGGTGTCTGCCCAGAGAATAGATGTGCAGGAGCCCCTGAAATTAAGACTTTTCAGTAGCTGGGATAGGGTTGGTTAACAAGAGGAGGCTTTTGGGTTGTTTTGGATTTTTAATCTTTTTGCTAATTTGAAGTACAACAGCTCGCTCACTCTTTCATAGGACTGGTGTTTTCTGAGGTGCCCAGCTCCCCTGCCCCCTGCTTAAACCCTAGGTCAGCTTCTCCGGGCCTGTCTGCTCCTGCTCCCACTGCCACCTAAAAGATCCCTCCCTCACACCCCAGGCCCTGTTAATGTAGCCAGTGGCTCCCTCAATTCCCCCACCCTGTCACCTCCTTCCCCTTTGTCTTCCCCTGGGGAAAGGCACCATCGAAGGTGGAAACATAGTGTAAGGATATTCTAGGCAACTTCCTCCCTTATTTCACAGAATGAACAGAAAGAACAGATGCTTGGAAGTTTGGAACAAGAGGGCGAAGAAGGTGGGGAGTATAAGGCTTTGTCCCAGGAGTTAGGAGACTTGGGCTCAATTTGCTGTCATCGGGTTACACTAAGACAGAGGAGTATGGTGGAGAGGGTTTGAGATTGGAGTTTGCTACCTCCTAACTCCATCAAAGCATTTACCCTCTTGAGCCTATTTTCTCATCTATAAAATGATATAATAACACCCACCTCATGGAGGGGTTGCGAGAGCCAGCTGAAATAATGCATGCTTAAGTACTTTTGCAAAATGTGGAGAGCCGTAGAGTACAGATGTCAGTTATTATTGTTGTTAGCTGTGTAACTTTGAGTGAGTGAGTCCTTTTCCCTCTCTGAGTCTCAGGCTCCTCATTTGAAAAGTGAGAAGCTTGGATTACATGCTCTCTAAGGTCCCGGGATCTGATATAAGAAAATTTCCCAAGTTTCAATATGGAGGTGCTGTGACTGACCCCAATCCCAGCTGTAGGGACACAGAATCATGGCACTTTGATAACAGCCTACTATACATAGGCCAATTGGCTGTGAGGACTCTGAGACTAGAGGTTGCAGGATGGAGAAGGCGTGAGGATAGGTGTGTCTTATTGGTGAGGGGAGGAAGGGTCAGGAAGGATACAGGCTCATTGAAAGAAGGGCCTCGGTGTGTTTCTACATCATATGTGGCTGGTTTTCCAGGAAAATCTCTGTAGAATTCGAGAGCGCCTTTACATTGTTGTCTTGTGGTAGGATTTGAAAAATAATGAAGGCATTGCTGGAATCACATTCCTGGGCAGCAGAAACAAACACTTGGGGAGGCCTGGCTTCTGAGGTGAAATCGGCAAGTGGAAAGGAGGGTTCATCTGTCCCTGCTCCATACTAACTGTGAGCGGTACCACGGAAGTTGGTAGTGGCCAGGGGTACGCTGGAGGTGGCTCCTACTGACCTATTGTTAAAATTTCAGGAAGTTTGCAAGCCAGTGGAGTCCCCTTGGTAGTTTGAAATATGCCATGGTGGGAGCATTTACATCACAGAAATTGGCAAATGCTACAAATCAGGGCTGTTCCCCAACTGGCTGATAGTTAAACACTTACCAGCATACCTAATTGTGTTATAGGCACCTAACTTTTCCCTTTTTTTTTAAACTTAATTTTTCTATTATCAAAGTAATTTACAATTTGAAAGTCTAATAACTTTGAAAAAGCACACAATAGAACACAGTGACTCCTGCCTTGTTCTCAACTCTCTTCAGTGCCCTTCCTTGTAGATAATGTTTGCTCTGGTGTTCACACATTTGCACATTTCCAAAAAAATTTTGGATACTGTTATCATTTGATTAATTAATTTTAAATGTTTTTTTACTTCATCTTATTGTAGGTGAGGATTTAACTTCCTCATATTGCCATTCCCCTCTTTATTCCCAATATAGTTATTTTTCAATCTTCTGTTAAATTTAAGTTTAGTATTTGCATCACTATGCCTATGCAAATATCACTAACTTCTAAACATTAAAATGTACAATGATTATGTTGTCTTTCTTACTTTTTTATTGCATTGAGGTTAAGAACTCTTTGTTTTTCAATATGCTTGCTTTTCTCTGTACCTATTACTAATTCTTACAACTTTCAGTGGCCCCTCACTACAATTTCTACAAGGAAAATAGGTGCAAGGTATTCTTTCAGTTCCAAATTTTTTCTTGGAGACATCCTTCCTTCTGTCTGGTCCAGCCTACACAGCTGTCATCCTGAGACTTCCTTTTGCTGTCATTCTTGGCCTCCCTATGCCTTTTTTCTTTGTTAGATGTCTTGTTTTCTGGACCTAATGTCTTTCTCTTTTTTGGGTTGGTAGAACACATCCACCAGTAGCTTCATCAAGTTAGAAAGATGGTGCATTGCTAAAGAGAATGCTGATGTCTGCTCTCAATGTGCTTGTCTCTTGAGTCTTCTCCAGTCTGAACTAGCTGTCCATCCTAGGATGACACATAGTAGGTGCTCAGTAATGATTTGTTGAATGAATGAATAAATTCTGAGATTTTCCTTTGCTTTTTGGAGATTGCCTTTGCTTTTTTCCTATGTTGGTCTCCTTTCTTTGTTTCCTTTCTTTGTTATGCTGAAAAATACTCTCCGGTAGCTTTCTGAGAAAGATTTTTATAGGAGGTAAATGTTGGGATTGCTTATCTGAAGGTCACTTGATTGATAGTTTGGCTGGTATCGAATTATAAATGGAAAATTCTTTTCCTTCAGAAGTGTAAAGGCAGTACTCCATTGACTTCTTGCTTTTCAGATGTCTGAAGCTATTCTGATCCCTGTTCCTTTGTATGTGAAGTTTCTTCTCTCTGGAAGTTTGTAGTTTCCCCTGTTCTGAGATTTCCTAGTAAGACCCCTTTGTTTGGCTCTGCCTTCATCCATAATCGGTGGGCCCTTCTATCTGTACACTCATGCTCTTCAGATCTAGGGCATTTTCTGGAAATGTTTCACTGATTTTCTCCTCTGTGTTTTCCGTGTTCTCTCTTTCTGGAACTCCTATTGAGACATTGGGCTTTCTGGACTGACTAATCCACTTTTCTTATTTTTTTCTCTTATTTTCCAGCTCTGACTTTTTGCTTTGCTTTCTGGAGATTTCCTTAACTTTACCTTCCAACCTTTGTCTTGGGTCTTTCATTTCTGCCATCATATTTTTAATGTCTAAAAGTCATTTATGTTCTCTCTGAATTCTCTTTTTAAAAATAGTATCCTGTTCTTATTCAGTCTGTACAATGTTCTCTATTATCTCTCTGAGGAAAGTAAACGGCTTGAAATTTTCTTCTCCCTCCCTACTTTCTCTTCCTTCAATTTACTCGCACCCCTTTCTGTGTGTTTTCTATATATTTACCTCACATTAGAAGCTTTCTTCATATATCACTTAATCTTTGCAAGATTAAAAATAAAGGTCAAAGAGCCGATTGGGAGCTGAGGCTGAGGTTTATTGATTTTGAGGTTGGCTATGCAGAGATCTGGGGGCACTGTCCGTTAGATAAACCGTCTGGTGGACTTTGAGCTTGGGCTGGCTGGATTTCCAAATGTATTTTTCTATTCTTCATCCTAGAGAGTCAGGGTCTGGCTGATGAACCTGTGAATGGGATCAATGAGTTTCTTTGCACTCAGCTTTCATTGTAGACCACATTATCTGGCCCTTCTTTGTTCCCCTATGCTTTTTGTATGGTACCCACGCTCTCAAATATGCCGATAAACCTCTAATTCTAGGACCTGTTTTCAGCTCTCTAGAGAAAAAATCTCCAGTGGATAGAGAGGTACTTGCCCAGCCCGTGTGTATGTTTGGGGGGTTGTGGGGAGCTTTGGCTTCTGGCTCTAACTGCTCCTCAAACAATTTTACCTCAGTCTGCCCCTTCACTCTCAATTCCAAAGTTTCTTGGTGCTGCCATTTTCTGAGCCTTTTGAGTATTCTTTAGTGTAATTTTGGGTGCTTCTGGAAGGCAGACAATGAATGGTAGCTGGCTTACGAGAAAAGAGAATCCCAGGTCAGGTGTTAAATAATAAAGCACCTTGATCAAGTGTAGAGCAGTGTTAACCTATTTGGTGTTTTTATTTAACGTACAGGTTGACAAAGGACCTGTGGGATATTGGGCAATATGTTTTCACAAACACACCACTCTTTTTCTGTGCTTATTTTGTTCCTACCTCTTCTCTACTTTTTCTCCTCTTAGAGGAAAAAGATTTGGGTGGGCTTTAAAGCAGGAACATTGCTCCAGATAGTTTCTGGATTAAAAATGTCTGTTGCTTCCCTATCTTTTTTTTTGCTTGAAAATAGAGACAGCGTCGTGACTAAGACCCCAGACTTTGGAGTCAGACTGGCTGAGTGTCCCAGCCTACTATCTGTGTGACCTTGGACATGTGCCTGTCCATGCTCATCTAAAATGGGGATGATAGTAATTTCCTTATAGGACTGAGAGAGGAATAAATGAGATAATGTGCTTAAAGAGCCCGGCATTAGTAAGTGTTCAATATATATTCAGATTTATTATTTTGAAAATTATTTCAGTTCCTATATATCTTTTAGTTAAAAAATATTGAACAGTTAATGGTACAATAAGTATCTTAAGCTCTTTGCACAAAGAGAAAAAAACCACCCACAATCTTCTTTCCCAGCACATCTCTTCATATTTACATGTTATTTTCGCGTGGTTAGGATGTGGGGTGTATGGGGTGGGGGAGTTTGTTAAGGTCTGTGAGAGTGATCCTGCACCTGGTCAGATCCACCCTTGCTGGGCAGTGGGTCCAGCTGAGGTTCTGGGTGTGAGGAGTTGGCTTGGGTTTTCTGTCAGGTTTTGAGCTGCTTTGGGACTGATTTGAAAGTGAGTAAGACCTGGACCTAAGTGCCTGGGTGCATTGCAGGCCCTTTGGGGAAGGGTCTGGCAGTCTATGGCCTGGGTCAGGTGAAAGAGGTAAGCATAGGCTGGAGCAGGGAAGGACGGCCTGGGTACTGAGCAGAGGGCCTAGAGTTGTCTTCAGGATGGCTGCTCGAGATCTAAAAGGGAGAGTTTGCTCCCTAATGGGACTGTCAGGGGAGATCAGGAAGAGGATGTCTGTGATCAACACAGGGATATGGAGGGACGTGAGGGTGAATGCAGTCAACATGTGTTGGCTGATTAAGAGTGTGCACTCATGCTCACTTGGAGCTCATGGGGTCCTGCTGGTGAAACTCAGCCATCTAGTGGAGGAACCCAACCTCTCCCATCCCAGAGACCTCATAAGACTGAGTGCGTGAGCCCTGTGACCGTGAGGACTTGGTCTGCCCAGAGAGCCAGAGGCCTTCCTTCTGGTTCAGCTGTTGTGCATATCCGTGGGGTTCCCCCGGATGCTGGCCCAGCGACTTATCTCCTCCTCTGTGTCCTCTGAGCAACAGAGTTACCATGGTTATGGGTACAGATTGTGCTAGAGACCTTCTGGAGGGATATTAACCCAGAATCTCACAGGATTACCCTGTAGTCACTGTGTAGTCAGCCCGAGAAGGTGGAAGACCTCTGGTTTCATGGTCAGACAGATGGTGGGTTGTGGGTCCTCACCTAGTCATTCTCTAGCTGTGTGTCCTTGGGCAAGCCGCATAGCTCTTCTGAGCCTGCAAAATAGAAATATACTGTGCCAGGCACTAGGCTAAGCACTTCCTTTGTGTTAACTCACCGAAGTTCCATAATAGCCTAATGAGGCAGAACTATTTCCCCCGTTTTACAGATGAGGAAATGTAGGCACAGGGAGGATAAATAACTTTCCCCAGGTCATGTAAGTTCCTGGCACCTGGAGGGTGTTCAGTAAGGTGCAATCCTCCTCCCCGCTAGCTATTTCACAATTCTAGAATGCCAGAGTAGGATTGGACCTTAGGATTATCTCGTTTAGCCTATCATGCCGGTGAAGAGGCTGAGGCCCTGAGAAGATGATAAATTTCCCACAATTAACTTAACCTGCTGAGGTCAAATTGGAAGTAGAACCAGGTCCCTTGACTCCAAACCCAGATGCTCTTCTTTCCTCAAGGCCACTCCCATTCTGTCAGACTCTCCTGGAAAAAAAAATGAGTGTGTGAAGAGGCAGGACCAGGAAGAGAGAGGCTGGCCATAGGGGCTTGGCTTCTGGTAGACATAGGGAGGGCACTTTCTTGGTGAGGGGTGGGCCTTCTGGGTGGGGGAGTGCTAGCCACTGGCCACCCTATTAAGGGATGACTTCTTTTGTGTTCTCCCCACTGTGGCTTCAGGAGTATCTGAAGGGCCTGTGCAACCCAGAGCTATGGAAGGAGGTTCGCTACCCGCCTGCCCTGCACTGTGCCTTCCTTGGGGCCCAGGGCCTCTTCCTGGACTGCCTCTGCTGGAGCACCCTGGCCTACCTGGTGCCCGGCCCCCCTGGCTCCCTGATGGTGGGCGGGCTGACCGAGTCTTTCATCATGACCCAGAACTGGCTGGAGGAGCTGGTGGGGCGGCTGCGCTGGGGCCCTGCCCCTCTGCTCACCCCCCGGGGAATCTGGGAGGCTGAGGTGACTCGGGCCTTTGGGGCTTTGGTCTGGATCCGTGGTGATCAGTATGCAGGGGACCTGCTGCAGCTACCCCCAGCGGTCCAGGAGCTGCTGCTGAGCCTGGTGCGGGATGCTGCAGGCAAAGAGGACATCATCGAGTGGCTCAGCCGCATCGGCACCTCCAACACCCGCTCCGACCCAGAGGTCCTGATCTGCCCTCCCCACCAGCAGAAGGAAGGCTCAGCTGTGATGTCCGTGGGAGATGGTCCTGGGTCCTTCCTGGACATAAAGACCCTCCAGAACGGGAGCACAGAAAATTCAAAGAAATTAACCAGCCTAGGATCCTCTCCAGGCCAAAACGCACAGCAGGAGACAGCGAACCAGCTGGTACGGTAAGTTCTGGAGAATTAGTCTAGCTTCTCTGCCCTACCCCTGCTCCCCCACTTGAAGGAAAGAGTTTGGGACCTGACTGGTCTCTCCGTCTTTCCAACAAACTTGGTCTTTCCCCAGGGTTGGTTCCAACAACCAAGGTGGTACGGACAGTGCTCGAAAGGAAGGGGCAGTGCCATCCGCCAGCAGCCAGGACTCTGCGAACCACTCACAAGCTTTGTCACAGCAGAGGCAGGTCCAGAGGGTGGAAGACAAGCTCCCCTTCCACCCTCCTCCGGTGTCAGCCCTGGGTGTGTGCCCAGCCTGGAAGGCCTGGGCCCCGGGGCCAGCCTTTGGGCCCTTGTGGCCAGGGGCTATTGCTGCAACCTTCTGGAGGATCAATGAATTACATTCTCTCCACCTGGCCTGGCTCCTGTCCCAGGCGTGCTTCAGTTTCCCCTTCTGGCAGAGGCCACTGGGCCCCATTCAGTTCAAACTGCCAGGGCAGAGTCCTTTGCCCTTAAACCTAGAGTGGAAGCAGAAGGAGCTGGTTCCTTTGCCCAGCGTGGACTGTAGACCGGGTGGGGGGCCAGGAGGAGAGGCAACCCTACAGAATTGCCCGAGGCCAGAGACCCCCCAAAAAGTCATGAGTTTATTGGTGGTGTCAGGAGGCTCGGGCGTAAAGGACAAGGCTAGCCTAGGACTTCCACAGATAGGGCCACCTTTGACTACTACACCCCAACTCCAAGCTGCAAGTGAGCCGGGGGATCAAGGAAGTATGCAATGGGATTATAAGGAGCCAAAAGAGGGGACCTTTTCAGCACCACCCACAGGACAAGGAATGCATACAACTCAAGGGAGGCCTGTGGCTCAAGGGGGGCTGTCGGCTCAGTCAGTTCCTGGTCCTCAAACAGTGCCTGAGACTCTTGAAGTGCCCATGGCTGTAGCAGTGCCCACAGCTCAAACCCCACCCACAAATCAAGTGCAGTCTGCAGCCTCCAAAGTGCCTACAGCCCAAGTGATGCCAGCAGTCCACACAGAACCTGCAGTTCCCAAAGTGCCTTCGGCTCCCACAAAGCCAGCAGCTCAAGTGGTGCCCACAGCTCAAAAGGCAGATGTGGGTCAACTGGCTGCAGCAGCTCAAGTGGTGCCTGCAACTCCAAAAACTCCCACAACTCAGAAAACGCCTGCAGCTAAAACATTACCTGCAGGGCCCAAAACACCCAAAGCTCAGACTGGTCCTGTGGCTAAAACAGGGGCCGCAGCTCCCAAAACACCTGCAACCCCCAAAGGCCCCGCGGCTCCAAAAGCCTCCAGAGCGCCGAAAACGCCTGTAGCTCAGAAGGCACCCACAGTTCCAGGGCCAGCCTTGGATGCAGCCAAGCTCCTGAGCGAGGTTCAGCCTCCATCAAAGGGCAGTGCCTCCTTCCTGAAGGGCCAGGGGGTGGCCAGGAGGCAGGCTTCCCAGCCCGACAGCACCTTGGCTCCCAGTAGTAAGCACCAACCTCAGGTGGGAGGGCTCCTGGGGGCTTGGGAGGGGGCCCTGAGGCAAGCGCCTCGACAACCACAGGCGAACAGCACAGTGACCAGCTTTCAGAGGTACCACGAGGCTCTGAACACACCCTTCGAGCTGAACCTGTCCGAGGAACCTGGAAACCAGGGGTTGCGGCGAGTGGTCATTGATGGCAGCAGCGTGGCCATGGTGTGAGTAGCCATGGCATAGGGCATACTGGGCATGCTGGAGACCTGAGGCAGGGTGTCTGGTGGGGACATAGCATGGGCATCCTTGACCTCTGTGGGTGACATGGGGTTCAAATGAGGAAAAGATGGGAGAGAAGTGGCCCACGTTGAGTGACTACTGAGTGCTAGGCACTGTGCATGGACTTGTCACAGCAGCCCTGCAAATGTAGGTTTCTGTTCCTCTTTGACAGAAGCAGAAACAGGCTCAGAAAGGTGCTGAATCTTACCCAAGGTCCCAGAGCCAGTAAGGATTCCAGCTGGCCATTGGGTTCAGATCTGTCCACTGTCGAGGCCCATGCTCTTTCCACTGCAGCCTGCCTTACATAGCATGGTGTCAGACAACCTCAGGCCAGCTTTCAAATGTTTAGCTCCAACCTTAAGGCCCAGCACGGACCTCCTCTATGAAGCTTTTCCTGACCAACCGTTTGACGTTGCCCTCCCTGCACAGCACTTACTGCTGTGTATGTGTTAGCATAAATATATGCAAGACCACTTAATTTGCCCAGATTGTAGAGTGATATCTGTGCTGAGCACACTCCTAGCATACAGTAGATGGTCAGTGAATGTTTGCTTGCTTCCAGCTCTAACTTGAACTCTTTGGGTTTAGAGGTTGCCATCTTCTTCCTCTTCCCCTGGAGGCCCCAACAGACACACACACACACACAGTCACCCAGTAAGTGCTCACAGAATGTTCGATGATGGAGGGAAGGGAAAAGGGCATTGTCGGTGCTTGTGGTGCTGACGCTGGTGCCCTGGCGTTGCCCTCTGTGCTGCCTGGGCTGGCTCTAAGGGAGGTGTGGGAAGGCTGGTCCATTTCTTGGGCAGGAATTTCTTCCTTACTTTCCACCACCCCCACAGGCATGGTCTCCAGCACTTCTTCTCCTGCCGTGGCATCGCCATGGCGGTGCAGTATTTCTGGAACCGAGGCCACCGAGAGGTCACTGTGTTTGTACCCACCTGGCAGCTGAAGAAGAACCGGAGGGTGAGAGGTGAGCTATCTATTGCCGCTCAGCCCCTCCAGCATCACCAAGCTTTTTCTTTTCCTGCCTCTCTCTGTCCCCAGCGTGGCCTTTTCCACTTAGCCCTTCCTCTGACCATCTCTATCTTCTGCCTTTCGCCTCCAGAGAGTCACTTTCTGACGAAGCTACATTCCCTCAAGATGCTTTCAATCACCCCCTCCCAGCTTGAGAATGGCAAGAAGATTACCACCTATGATTACAGGTGTGCCAGTCCCCAGGCCTGCCTTCTGTGGGTCTCTGGGGGCTAAGCTGCTGTGTCAGGTGGGGTCCTGCCTCGTCTGCTCTGGAGAGATGGAAGCAAACACATCTGAGGGGTCATGTGAGAGAGGATGGTGCACAGCGCTGTGTAGGCAGAGGGAGGGACACAGTGAGGAGAGAGCTCCAAGGCTGGCTCTGCCCAAGGCCATGAGGCATTTCTGACTTTGGGATTCTGCAGCTGCATTTCCCTTAGTTAATAGACTTTCTTCCACGACCTATGGGCCGAGATCCACCATTTCTGACTTTGGGATTCTGCAGCTGCATTTCCCACGACCTATGGGCCGAGATCCACGGCTTTGAATGGGATTGGGCCCGGTGACTCGTGGTGCTTCGAGGAAGCTGCTTCCCTAAGCATCTGATTTGGGGTGCCAGTTTCAGTTGAAGTTCATGTCTCAAGGAACTGCTTCAGTCTTTCCGTTCCCCAGCCCTGGCCCTGGGAATGTGTATAGCTGTATGTGGTCAGAGCTCTGGCTGGGCTCTGAAAATGCTTAGACTGGCCGCATCTCCTAGCTAAAGCCCAAATGCCTTCCTACTTCTCAATCCTAAGTATCCATTCCCAACGTGGCTGCACAACCAGTGTGCACAGGAGGAGGCTGTGATGCTGGCTCTTTTGGGGCAAGGGAAGGTCCTGCTGCAGTTGCAGGTCTTGGGCTAGAGTCCATGCTGGGCAGACACAGGACTTGGCTTCACTTAGGGACCTCTCATGTGGGGCAGGGAGAAGTTCTGTACCTCCCTACTTTTCCCCAAACCTGGCATCCTCTCAGCCTTCAGACCTGGGAACGACTGGGCAGGGCAACTCGGGCATCTCTCCTTAAAGAGCAAGCCTTCTGGGTGAGGTGTTTAAGTGCCCGTAATTAATTTCCTGCCTGGGTGCAAGGGAAGATGGCTTTTCTGCAGAAGGCCCCTCTTCTGAGCACCTGTGGAATAGCTTGCTTGGGGCCACCTGAGTGGAAGTCTTCAGGGAATGCTAAGAAGAAGTAGGTGGCCTTTGCTTTTTTTCCTGGTCACAGCCTTCTTTCAAGGAGAAGTGATCCTTGGAAATGGGTTTGTTTATTAAGATGTGTGTTTTTGTATGTGTTTTGTATGTGTTTACATACATATGTATGTATGCGTGCGTGTCAGCATGTACATGAATGTTGCTCATTGGTAAAGAAGAATAATGGAAAATTTGTGTGTATGCTATATGGCAGGCACTGAGCTAGATATTTCAGTCATCCACTTTAATCCTCACAGCTATATAGGGGACATATTTTATGTTTTACAGATGTGGAAACTGAAGCAATAAAAATGCACTTGTGGATGTGGACAAGTGTGTGGGTTTGCGTGCGTGTCCGTGCATTGTATGTGAATGCCTGAGTGTAAAACAGAGGTCTGTGTTTGAATATACAGTTGCAGGGCATCCATCCCAGTTTACCCTCCCAGGTGGTAGTGGTGATCCCAGATGGCTGTATAGATGAGGGGATGGTCTCCTGGGACCTGGCTTCCCGACTACCAAGGGCAGTTTTTGTCCAACACGCTCCAATTTGAAGCCTCAAGTTTATTTTCCCAGAGGACTGGGGAATGCAGGGGCTGGTTCCTGGATCATTAGTGATCCCCACTCTCCTTGCAGGTTCATGGTAAAGCTGGCGGAGGAGACAGATGGCATCATTGTCACCAACGAGCAGCTCCACATCCTGATGAATAATTCCAAGAAACTGATGGTCAAAGATCGGTGAGGTGGCTTAGAGGGGATTGGGCTGTTCCTTCTCCTTGGATGTCAGGTAGCCCCTGGCAGGGGTGTTAGGGCCAGGAGAGGGCCCTTGGGGTGGCGCCAACCAGCATCTGCTGGGAGATGTGGGTCTTGGCCCTGTGGAGATGCCCAGACAGCAATGGGGCGTGGGTGGGTCTAGGGCTCCTCAGCAACTGTGCCTCCTCTCTTCCGGGTCCAGCCTGCTGCCCTTCACCTTTGCGGGGAATCTCTTCATGGTACCCGACGACCCACTGGGCCGCGATGGCCCCACCTTGGATGAGTTTCTGAGGAAGCCCAACAGGTAATGGGCTTCCCCTGCCTCCCGGCCCCTCCAGGGACCGACCAGAAACTTCCCCTAAGTGCTAGCCAGCGTTTTTCTAGTGCTTAATAGTGAGCAGAGCGATTTGATGTTTTCACGTCTTTACACTTCTACCACTTCTTTATGCGTCCATAAACCACTTATATGGTTTTGCTGTTTTACAGTTTTGCACACATGCTTTAATACTATATGTATCCTTCCACAACTGGCATTTGTACTCAGCTTTTTATTGTTTTTTCCAGATGTTAATTTGTGTGGCTCACTTTAATGGCCGTGTGGTATTCCAGTACATGAATACCCAACAGTTATCGGGTCTCTTGTGGAGGGCTATTGATGGTATCCGTGTTATGCTATTGGAACCATGGCTACAGTGAACAGCCTCGTTCCTATTTCATTGTGTTCAAGGGCAGCCGTGTCTAGAGTCTGTGCCAAGTGGAAGTTTTTCCACAGTTCTTATCCCCTTGGTCTTCACAACTTGAGTTAGACATACACGACTACTATCCTCATTTTACAGACGAGGAATCTGAGATTCAAGTACTTTCCCAAGGTCACTTCGCTGGTGCTGGCAGAACTGGTTTGCAGTAACTCAGATCCTCTGGCCTCTACCCCGCCAAACCACCTTGCTCCCCATCTCCCAGTTCCCTGGGCCCAGCAGGAGACTGTGGTGGACCCTCTGGGCAAGGTACTGCTTCCTGGGCCAGGCCTCCACCCAGTCCCATTTTCCTGGTTTGGAAAAAAAGTGATGTGGAGCAGGTCTGTCTACTGTGTCCTCTCAAGTCCCTTGCCAGACCTCGTTCCCTCTCTTGACCTGGCTTGCTAATCCTGGGGTCAGGTCGGAAGCACCAGTCGTCTAATTCTTATCACACCATTGGCTTAAAACTTGTTGAAAATGCCACTTGGTCAATGAGATTTTGATTGGACAAACCTTCAAAGCATAGTGGAATCTCTGATACTGAGGCCCAGCACATGGCAGAGGTAGAAGATCTATGGGCAGGGTCCATGTCAGAGGCTGGCACTCGGCCCAGCCTCAGGGTCACTGAGCAATGAGGTGGGGCTCCGCAGGGTTTCCACAGGTGTGATTTCCCCATGGATGGCCTCTTGGGTGGGCTGTCCCCTTTCCTCCTCCATTGGACCCTCTGCTCTGCTGTTTCGGTGCAGGTTGGACACCGACATTGGCAACTTCCTGAAGGTGTGGAAGACCCTTCCTCCTAGGTCAGCCAGCATCTCTGAGCTGAGCGATGCCACCGACACGGGGCCTTTGGAGAGTCCTCAGAAAGTGGAAGAGGTCAGGGAAGAGAAGGAGGAGAGGCAGGGTGAAGAGCCGAGGGAGCTGCAGGACGAGGAGCCGGAGGAGCGTCAGGGCGCACAGAGGTCAGCCGAGGAGGAGGACCTGGACTCCTCGCTGGTGTCGGTGTTCAGGGCTGAGTGCCCTTCCCTTTCAGAAGAAATTCTCCGGTGCCTCAGCCTCCAGGACCCCCCTGACGGGGCCCTTGACATCGATCTCCTGCCAGTGGTGGCTTCTCCCTCCCTGGGCATCCCCTGGGATGGCAAGGCTCCCTGCCAGCAGGTTCTTACCCACCTGGCCCAGATGACCATCCCCAACAACTTTACTGCGCTTTCCTTCTTTGTGGGGTTCATGGACTCCCACCGGGATGTCATCCCCGACTACGAAGCCCTTGTGGGCCCCTTGCACAGCCTCCTCAAGCAGAAGCCAGACTGGCAGTGGGACCAGGAGCACGAGAAGGCCTTTTTGTCCCTGAAGCGAGCCCTGGTGTCTGCTCTCTGCCTGACGGCCCCCAACTCCCAGCTGCCCTTCCGCCTGGAGGTGACGGTGAGCCAAGTGGCCCTGACGGCCATTGTCTACCAGGAGCACTCAGGAAGGAAGCACCCCATTGCCTATACCTCAAAACCCCTCCTCCCTGACGAGGAGAGTGAGGGCCCCCAATCAGGGGGAGACAGCCCCTATGCCGTGGCCTGGGCCCTCAAGCATTTTTCCCGCTGCATTGGGGACACCCCTGTGGTCCTGGACCTTTCGTACGCCGCCCGGACCACTGTGGACCCTGAGGCTCCGGAGGGCCGAAGGGTTTCCAAAGCATGGTTGATCCGATGGTCCCTCTTGGTGCAGGACAGAGGCAAGAGGGCCCTGGAACTGACCCTTCTCCAGGGCCTGCTGGGGGAAAACCAACTGCTGACGCCCGCGTCCTCTCTGACTCGTTTCTTTCAGGTTCTGCCTCCTTTTTCCGACCTGTCCACTTTTGTCTGCATCCACATGTCGGGCTATTGCTTTTACCGTGAGGATGAGTGGTGTGCTGGCTTTGGTCTCTATGTCCTGTCTCCCACCAGCCCCCCTGTCTCCCTTTCCTTCTCTTGTTCACCTTATACACCAACCTATGCCCACCTGGCTGCTGTGGCCTGCGGTTTGGAGCGCTTCGGTCAGTCCCCACTCCCTGTGGTTTTCCTCACGCACTGCAACTGGGTCTTCAGCCTCCTCTGGGAGCTCCTGCCCCTGTGGAGGGCTCGGGGCTTCCTGTCCTCTGACGGATCCCCACTACCTCACCCGAGCCTGCTTTCCTACATCATATCCCTCACCTCTGGCCTCTCATCCCTTCCGTTTATCTACCGAACCTCCTACCGCGGCTCCCTGTTTGCCGTGACGGTGGACACCCTGGCCAAGCAGGGCGCTCAGGGGGGTGGGCAGTGGTGGAATTTGCCAACGGATGTGCCGGTCCCCGTAGTGTCTCCCCATACCGTGGGCAAGAGGCCCGACTTGCTGGCATTACAGCTCAGTGACAGCACCCTGGCGGATATTATCGGCAAGCTGCAGGCCGGGCAGAAATTGTCTGGCTCCTCACCCTTCAGTTCTGCCTTTAACTCACTCAGCCTGGACCAGGAGAGCGGCCTGCTTCTGTTCAAGGGAGATAAGAAGCCCAAGGTCTGGGTGGTCCCAAGGCAACTCCGGAGGGACTTGATTTTCTCTGTGCATGATCTCCCCGTGGGGGCCCATCAGAGACCCGAGGAGACCTACAAGAAGCTGCGGTTGTTGGGGTGGTGGCCTGGGATGCAGGAGCACGTCAGAGATTACTGCAGGAGCTGCTTGTTCTGCATTCCCCGAAATCTCCTAGGCAGTGAGTTGAAGGTTATTGAGTCCCTGTGGCCCCTCAGGTCGACCGCCCCCTGGTCGAACCTGCAGATCGAGGTGGTGGGCCCAGTCACCATAAGTGAGGAGGGCCACAAGCATGTGCTGATTGTGGCTGACCCCAACACCAGGTGGGTAGAGGCGTTCCCGCTGAAGCCCTACACGCACACGGCTGTGGCCCAGGTGCTGCTTCAGCATGTGTTTGCAAGGTGGGGCGTTCCCGTGAGGATGGAGGCTGCCCAGGGTCCCCAGTTTGCCCGGCATGTCCTGGTGAGCTGTGGACTGGCCCTGGGAGCCCAGACGGCCTCCCTGAGTAGGGACCTGCAGTTCCCCTGCCTGACGAGCTCAGGGACCTACTGGGAATTCAAGAGGGCCCTCAAGGAGTTCATCTTTCTGCACGGCAAGAGGTGGGCAGCTTCCCTGCCCTTGCTGCATCTGGCCTTCAGGGCCTCCTCCACCCAGGCCACGCCGTTCCAGATCTTGACAGGGGGCGAGGTGAGGCTCACTGAGCCCCTGTGGTGGGAGATGAGCAGTGCAAATATTGAAGGGCTCAAGATGGACGTCTTCTTGTTCCAGTTGATGGGGGAGCTGCTGGAGCTCCACTGGAGGGTGGCTGACAAGGCCAGTGAAAAGGCGGAGAATAGGCGTTTCAAGCGGGAGAGCCAGGAGAAGGAGTGGAACGTGGGTGATCAGGTCCTCTTGCTGTCACTCCCCAGGAACGGCAGCAGTGCCAAATGGGTGGGTCCCTTCTATATTGGGGATCGGCTAAGCTTGTCTCTCTATAGGGTCTGGGGCTTCCCAACCCCAGAGAAGCTTGGGTGCATCTATCCTAGCAGTCTGATGAAATCCTTTGCCAAGAGTGGTACCCCACTGTCCTTCAAGGTCTTGGAGCAGTGAGCTGGAGCAGCAGGGGAGCCCCACCCCCAGGGTCCTGGGCTGCTGCTGCTAGGCTTCCCCTTCAACCCCAGCTGTGCTCTCACAGCCCCCTGGGGGCCTCTGTTGTGCCTTTTGTAGAGAAGTTACTTTATAAAGCTTTGCTGAATTGCCTTGAACTGGGGACCAGCATCCCTATGGAAATGTTCAGGGTGCGGTATTGGGAGAATCTGCCAAAGGCTGTCAGATATGGGCCTCTGGCAGTTTCACCCTGGGGAGTGTAAAGTCCCCTTACTGAGGTAGGCCAGGCACAATGTCTTTC